GCGGCGCGGCGCGGCGCCCCACCCTGGCAGCGCCCCTGGGCGGTACCCAGCCCATGCCTGCAGGACCAGCCTCCCTGGGCCACGTCCCCGAGGTGCCCGGACCCCGCTCCCCCAGGCGTGTGGGGCTGAGACCCGCTCGGTGCCCCCGGGGCTGTGGGCAGGCAGGCAGGGTGGCACGGGTGGCATCCCTTACACGTGCCGGGCGCGTGCCCATGCTAACGGTTCTGCCCCTCTCCCTGCAGCATGGCCGACTACCTGATCAGCGGGGGCACGGGCTACGTGCCCGAGGACGGCCTCACGGCCCAGCAACTCTTTGCCATCGCCGACGGCCTCACCTACAAGTAAGTGGCTGCAGCCTCTCTCCGCTCGGCGGGCCGGGGGTGGGCACACACGCCCCTGCGGGCAGGCACCGGAGCATTGGGCAGCTGGCGGCACTGGGGCGGCTGCTGCCCACCCTGGCTCCGGGGCAGCCAGGGCGGCTCGCACGTGGGGTCAGGATGTTGGCACAGCACAGCGCCAGCTCCCTTGCTGAGCGCCGGCCCTGCCGCAGGGAAAGGCTCAGTACGGCAGCGAAGGCCAGTATGCTCCTCACCCCCACTGGCCTCACTAGAAGGGCCTCTCCTTTCTCCCTGGCTGTCCTGCCACCACCCCCCAGTGATTCCTAGGCCGGCTAATGCCCTGCCAACAGCTCCAGCCGTACCTTGGTCTCCATGGTTCTGATCCCTTCTGATGCGTTTCAGCACCAGACACAAGTGCATTTTTGTCACATCACAGAAGGAAAAGCCTCTTGTGTATTGGAACATTTCTATGACTGTCCGATTTCATAACATCTTTGCTGTATTTGAAACATACCTACATGCTGGCCCTGACCGGCCCCTTTCGGCTTGTATTGGTGATCTGAACAATCAGATGCGGAGAGAGATGCACGCACCCTATTTTTGGGTGTGTACGTGTGCATACCCACGCTCCAGATGTATGGGTAAAGCAAATATCAAATATATTAGTATAAATGATCTAATGGCTACATAGCATAACATTGATGGTGCAGTTTGTCAATATTTATTTATATATAAATATTTATACAAACCCTGATGTTCATAGAAATGTTTTTTAAATTAAAAAAAAACGGTTTTTAGTCTAAATCATCCCTTGTAATATTTGCCTCTCCAACCTCATTAAGGCAACTGGAAAGTGAAACTGACTGCAAATAAACGTGAGACTAGAGGTCTGGTTTCTGTCTAGGCAGGTGGTATTCATGGTGAAAATTAAATTGGATTTTTTTATAAAATTGTGAATGGAAAACCCCCCCAAAGGTGCTGGAAATGGAACCTGCAAGTAAATTGCAGATTGTAACCCAGGAGGGTACTGTAACCATGGGCGCAGATTCCGTAGCGCTGGGGGGCGTTCTCCGTCACGGGTATTTGCAGCGCGAGCGACTGCCCTTCTGCAATGCAAGCTCTGGGCATGGCCCCAGCTGTTGGGCTGGGCGCAGGGATCATGGGGAGAGGTTCTCTGGCTGGGCTGTGCAGGATGATCAGAACGGTCCCTTCTGGCCTTAACGTCCACGAGCCCGACCACGGCCCTTTGCCAGGACGAGGTTCAGCCTATCGGTGGATCCTAGCGGCTAGGTTAGTGCCGACAGCTGAGCGCTGATCCTGCAGGCGGTTCTGCAGGGTCGCGCCCTTGGGACCTTGGTGGGTTAGTTGCCCTGTCCTGTAGGGCACTCCTGCGTGTAGCGATGGCGTGGGCCCCAATTCCTGTGTCCCCTCCCACCCTTTGTCTGTGGGGCAGGGGCTGTCTCTGAGCAATGCCAAATACAGCGGGGTGCTGATCGCCAGGCGAGCGGCTGGGCCTTGCTGTGATGCCAATAATTATTAGCAGCGCGACGCGGTTGCTGATTTTTAAAAGTAGCGATGCGTTAACTTTAGCAACCGAGGGCGCTGTTGCCGTGGAAACGCCGCGCTAATAGCACCAGCAAATCCAGTAACACAGTCCTGCTGGGATCCTGCAGCTTGCTGGTGGGAAAGGGCAGCTTTTAAACCACTGACATCGGTCGCCGGAATTCCTCTGCAGCCCCGATCCTGTAACGGGAGGCGTGGGAGCAGCAGATCTGTGGGCTTGCAGGGTCGGGCCCGAGGGGGCGTTCAGGTTTTCAGCCCGCGGACGGAGATGGTTCCTTTCAATCTGGGGGTGTCGCTTCGGCTCCTTTCTGTGCAGGGGGCTCCTGGAGGACGGGGGAATGTTCCTTGGCAGGGCAGTGCCGGCCTGGGGGGACTTGGCCTTGGGGGCTGGCATGTCCCCTTTCAGTAGCACTCAGTCCCTCCCCCCAAGGCCGTGCCGTGAGACCCGCCTCTCTCTGATCGATGGTGATTATTTTGCCAACTCATCCTTGTTGGCCAGGAGGCTCTGAGCCCTGGAGAGGGATGGGAGGCCCGGGGTGCATGCCAGGGCGGGTTGCTGTCGGTCACGTCTCCTTGTCCGACACCGTCTCTGTGACGCTGGGAGTGTCTGGTGTCGCTGGACCCCCTGCCCCTGATCCCTGAGGTAGATGTGACCTGGGGAGTGCCCTATGCCTGCTAGCAGTGCCCGCGTTAAGGAGGGAGCTGAATGGGGGGCAGGCAGCCAGCGTGCGGGGGGGTATTACTGTGGGACACTCTGCGGCCTGTCCTCATGGCAGCACTGTGCTTCCGGCCATCTCTGTCTGCTTGCACCATGCCTGCCCTATCCC